ATACAGCCCCAGGCAACATGCAGGGCAGCTGCCTGCAAGTAAGTCTATGGGGGGGGGCAGTTTGAGGCCCCCATGGTGACGGTGGGAGTGAGGCAGGGCTGAGCAGTGCCTGGGGCCAGGGCAGGGAGCAGGACAGAGCCATGGGCAGCTTGTCCAGAGGGCAGAGGAGAGGGAGTGGCTCCTCCCTGCTGCTGCACACACTCCCAGGGAGTGGGGCAAGTGTCCCCCTGCCCAGATTTGTGCGTGGGGCAGGGGTGGATGCAGGCCACCTGCTGCTGGATTGGAGCTCCCCACCCTGCTGCCTATTTAAGAGACCTATTTAAGCCATGGCTTGGCATCCCCTGCCTGCTTAGAAACAGTGGGGGTGGCAGCATGGACCCAGCTTAGCGGAGGAGACAAAATAAGTCATTGTCTGGCCCTTTGGGAGTGTTGTTCCCCCTTCCTCTTTAGTTAGTTTTGGACTATTAATACACCTGAATGGCTGCTGGGCAAAACCTGTGTGTGGCTTATTTCCAGGCTTGTCACATGGGAGCAGTAGCAGGTAGCTGTGATGTGCTTTGGAGTATCTGAGCTAGGATACCTTGGTGCTGTGTCGTACATGTCCCCTGAGGCACAGGTGAGAGACTCTGTATTCTGTGTTCCACTGCCTAGTTCTGGTCTGCCGCAACCCAGAACTTCAATTGTGAGGAAGACTTTACTCAACCACAGGCTGAAGTATGCTCATTGTCACTGGTAACGCGTAGGGGGTGCACATGGTGCACATGCACTCCTTGAGATTGCTGGTGCACCCCCTGAGAGAAGTGCTGCTGGTGGTGCCTGCGGGCATTTGTTGCTCACCACCCCCTCCCCCTCACTGCCAACACCACCAGTGACATCTGCAGGCAGATGCTGATCGCTGCCGGCCGCCGCTGACACTGCTATCAGCATCTGCAGGTGGTTGCTGACCTCTGGTTAGCGCTCGCCACCCCCTCCCCCGCTGCTGACACTGCCGCGGCTGCCTGTGGGAGCTCCCTGCTCAGCCCGCTACCGACACCACTGCGGCTGCCTGTGGGAGTTCACCACCGCCACACCCCCACCTCCGCTGCCTGCGGGTGGTCACCATGTCCCTCAGCCTCTGGGGGCATGTGTTGTTCATGCTCACTGTAGACGGTCTTCAGGCATTTAACTACACAGGTCCAGTGAACTTTTATGAGAGCATGTGATCTGTAGTTTTTTTGCAAAGGGCTTTTAACTTGGCAAATCTTGGATTTTTTTTTTTTTTTTTTTTTTTTTTTTTTTGTGGGATGGCAAAAGGCACATATGTGACCAAAGCATCTATTCTGCCAAACTTTAGGACCTGTTACAAAGGCTAAGGGCACAAGAGCTTTTTCAAATGAAATGGTTGCCAGAACTCAATATGGGCAAGATTTTATTTTTCCCTAATTGTGCTTGTGGAAACTTTTTAACCGTCTTGGCTCACCCCTCCTCCTTACTCTCCTCCACCACCACCCCTCTGACCCAGTCCCCAACTTTCAGCTTAAAGAAAGCACCCAGTACATTAATTTTAAGCCAAAACAGTTGAAGTTTGGCAGGTATCTAAAAACAAGGTCTTATAATGCAACATATGTAATCATGATAGACACTGCTAATAAGTATATGCATAATAAGATCTTATCATACTTGCTACAGTAGCATCCGAGTGTCTTTTTAGTGGTGCCTTAATTAGTGTAGTTTGGTCTTTCATTTTCCCTGGAGGGGAGGTGTGTGTAATGTAATGTAAAAACAAACCTCATGTAGCTTCCACATATCAAAGGTTTAGCACAATTTTCTGAATATATTTCTGGGGATTCCCACTAGGAAAACAGCAGAGCCAAATTTGAGTTGCAGCCTTCCTATCCTGTTTTATTTTAAAGCCTAGAAGATCTGTTTCTTGTATAGTGCATGTTTACATATTAAAGCTGGGAAACTCAAGTTCCTGATGAATAAACCATTCTTACTGAGAACTTCTTATTGCACTATTTTTTTTATTGTGCTTCAGTATGTTCAGGTAATTTAGGAGACCTTCTGTTCTCCATAATCCTCATGAAAATAAGCATCTCATGAGCCTTCCACAGTAATTAATAATTATCTTGATGTGGTTTGTTATGAAACTTCTAAGCACAAACTCTCAGACTTACAAACATAAAATAGAATAACAAATGTTGGAAATAAATTACGGTAGGCTAAATACGAAACTTGAAAGAAAACGACTAGAAAATATAGGTTCTTTATAAAAGGTTCAGGCTATATATAACTGCAAGAACAGATGGTATTTTTTTCTGTAGTCTATGTGGAGCATTAGCTCTCAAAATATCTTTAGAAAGTGAGTGAGAATTAGTGAAGACAACTTCAGGAAGCATTTAGAGATGACACTGTTAGACAGATGGTAAAACTGCTGAGGCATGTTATGGTGACACCTAGCTCTTGAAACAACCAGCAGGGGTGAGATTCCTTTAGCAAAATGTGCTGCATAATAACCTTCTATCTGAGCATAGATATTTCGGTTAACTTGAAAATGTTAATAGATTCTTGTGTCTGACAGTGTCAACTCTGTCGCATTTCAAGTTGCCCATAGGTGACATTGTAAGTAAAATGCTTAATTTTGGTATGACCCTATGCCAAAAGAGGACGTGGTGGCTTGTGCATTGTAGCAAACTGCCTGGGTTGTATACTTCCCTTTCTAAGAGGGCTGTCTTGCAACTTGCATTAAAGCTCAGTTTTTAAAATCCATTAGTTTGTAATTTCAAAAACTTATTGTGTATCTATTTTAAGAAATATGAAAGAGAATGAAATGGTATTTAGCACTTAGGTAATGAAATACACAGTTAAATGTAGCCTGTATATTCTTATTTATATACAGCAACACTTTTTATGCTGTGCTTGGAATCAATGTGCAAGTATTTCAACATGTTCCTACTTAAATTTTGCCAACCAAAAATATATTCTTTGTACTATGAAATGAAAACTATGTGCAGTTGCTTCTGTGGCTCATGAAAAGTCACTCATTCTCACCAGACTAGTTTGTTTATTCATATGGAATACAGCAACCAAATGACAGAACAAGCTATTGATGCTTCAGATTTCAAGTAAGAAGAATGTTGGCTTTATAAAGAATCCATTGAGCTCATATTTTCTTTAACAGCAATAGTATACATCAGTGGTTGTCAACTGGGGGTATGCATACCCCTAGGGGTACTTAAAAGGGTTGTAGGAGATATGTGGGGGAGTGCATGTGTGAGTGCAGCTGCAGTGCAGCATGTGGGTGGCCAGGAGTGCTGCCTGGTCACGTGGAGAGCAGCCAGGTTCAGTTGGTAAGTTTGTTGTGGGAGGAGGAAGTGGGGCTGGGGAAGGGGCTTCCCTGCCAGGGTAGGAAGCAGGTCTGAGCCATGCATGGGGGACAGCAGCTCCCGCCACCATGCACACTTGGGGGGGCATGGGGGTGTGTGGCCCCTGATTAGCGCATGGGGCGGAGCAGGCTGGGGCCAGGGCCATGCT